AAACTTGAAAAAGAATCTTGTGTGATTATTTGAGAAACGATCTCTCACTGAGATTACGATAATTACCTCCTGATATCCAACTTCGAGAATGGCAAAACACAACAACTAGAGTTCCTCCAGATACACTGCTCCATCATTAATTTAAATTCTGCTGTTCTGTATTTTAGATTTATTTAGAAAAATAAACCATAGGCATTTCCGCATCTGGTGACCTATTTGCTTTAATATGGGAACCCCATATTAAAGCAAATATATACGCCTCGTCCAATAAATACGAATATAAATGTTCAGATATGATTAATAAATTATTGCCAACATTAATTTTATATACAGGATGATCAAAGATTGACTCTCCAAAGCAGTAAATATTATTTGAATTATTATTTTTTTTAATTTTGTAGCTGTTTGTTGCTCTTCAAATAATGTTAAAAAATATGCACTTATTCAGTCAATGCGTCGTTGTGATGCTGAACGCATTCATTTTTCAGCAACGCCCAACTTGTAGTATACCTTTAAAAAGGGTTATTAATTATAATTACTTGTGAAAATGTCTACTAATTTTCTGGTTGTAAGTTAATTTTCAAATAAATTATCTTAAATCTTGCTCCCCGTTACCTATAAAATTATGAGATAATCGGGTCAATTCTGTTTGTATATTGATAAGAGTCTTGTTTTGAAAACCATATTGTTGTAAGTTTAAGTTATAAAAAGGTCAGTTACCAAATTTGTATTCTTTTTTCATGCCTATAACAAGTATTGCTAATAGTTTTAACAATACCAATTGTTATAAATTAAATTAGGCAACACCGTATGTAGCATGTTTTTTTTAAAGAAGAAGAAGTTTCCGATTCGTAACCTGAATTTTTGTTCTTAACAAAATATGTCCTGAGGCAGGAAAACAAATAAAAGAAAATTAAATGGTACTGTTTTTTTCTTCTTGCTTCATCCACAAATGTTTTCAACTCATATCTGTTTTGCTTAGTCCGCTTTAGGCTAGTCTGGTTTGCTATTATTATTTGTCTTTTCCATTACTTATGGCATACTGACGAGAAGATAAAAAGCTCGAAACCGGTATGTCTAGTGAGGAATTGACAAATTATCTTAGCTACCAAAAAAGATTTGCAGGTTTAATTCAATGCAGGTCGGGGCTTTCGTCCGCTGAGTAGTTGTTTTCTGCAAATCTTATTCAGTATATAGTTTAGGCCACCAGGGTTAGAGGTCGAAGCTCTTGGTACCTGCTTTACAGGACGATATCAGTCACTAGGACATCAGTGATGTCTGACTGATAGTAGCACTAACCACCGGAGGGATACACTTATCACTCACTATGTCTTTAAGGGCCGCTAGCTCCCTATGGGTGCCACATGTTTATCTGAACTTTTTGACTTATTCTGATATGTATTACATGTTGTAGAAGTTTGGAACCCTATTTTAGAAGCACCCTGTATCTACTTTAAGTACTAACCTACCTGTAGAATAAAATAAAAAATACTTATACTGATTTTCAATCTTGCAATTCTTCAAGAAAAGTTCAAAATTAATAAATATGGATTAACAGCCACTTTTAAACACTATCCCTATCTTGTTATGGTTTCAACTACTAAAATTAGCTTGCTAAGATTACAAGAATCAAAAGCCAAATCTCTTTGAGGTGACAGAACGTCTTGTTAGAATTTATAAGACAGAATAGGTGATTTATAAATCTTATAAACAAATAATAAGATCCCTCTAAAAATACCAAGAAACCACCTTGTTATGTGAAACATAATCGACCCGAATATCATCATTTATTAAAACATTTAAAACATCAAGGAACTCTATAAAATTGGACTTTTTTATATTTTTAATTAATAGTGTTCATAATATAATTCGCCACGAAAATATGTAGTAACAAAAGGGCGTGTTCAGCACGTGGCTAAAACAATCCGCATTTCTATTTGTCAAACATGTAAATTATGAAGTTCAATTTACAACTTAGTTTGGAACAAGTTTGAAACGCTTTGTTTTAATGCACTCTCAGTCGTTTATTGTTGCTTTTGTGAGTTTATGTGGTTTTTGGTTGTTTATTTTTCTTCTGCTCTGGTATCAATTCATAAAAAACTGTATTTTTCAAGACACCTTAAGGTACATTTACAACAAATTCGCTACAGACACAATTTACTAACGGATTCTGATTTGTGCCGAGATAAAATTTAGGTCATTTATAATGAGTTAGAAGCTGCCATTTGTTAAGATTTTTTAATATTACGTGTGTGTAAATTCAGTTTGATTAAATAATTACATTTATTTAACATAACTTCAAAAACATCATATGTTCTAGTACTAAAAGATCTTCCAATTTCAAATCACAAACCGACTTTATATATAAACAATAAATTTGTGTCGTAATACGCATGCGCAATTTGACATTCGTGCCGCAATTGAATTGAATATTTGCGATTTGCAAGCATCCAATTCAAACCTGAAGTGCAACTCAAGGTCGTGCCGACTTAAAATTTTATTGTAAACAAATACGTTCAACCAGATGTACTTAAAACCCAATTTAGAATCCACCAGCAGAATGTTTTGTAGAGGTGTTACACAACAGATCGCATTTGAAAAACTGCAAATTCTAACAAGAATGTTACCGTTGACAAGAATGTAGTTTATGGTTATACAATGAAAATAAGATGGGGAGGCATCGCCCAAAATGATGGGATTCCAAGATGGGGTTATAATTCAAAATGGCTGAACGTGTTGAAATTTTGTTACAACTTTATTTTAGACATTATACAAAAGAGTCTGTTATCGATTTATGTGTTTTTAAGGTCAAGGATTTCATTCTTCATGTAAAAAATAAATTATGAATCAATATAGATGCACTTTTGTCGCATATAGTGGGTAGAGTGAAAGAAAGGGAAACTCAGTATATCTTATTAAAAAAAAAAGGTGAATTTATAATGCGTAAATCATACAAAATATAACAAAGATAAGACAACACTTCTGCAACTATGTTATTACAGAAGTTGCACATACATCTGATTAGCTCTTTACATTGGTAAGAAATTTCTGGCAAGTCCGACCATTTCATCTGCCATGACAAATCATTCAACATCCCTATTTGGTTGGAGATGGTATACATTTCTGCGATTATTTGGACACATTTGAGGGACAAAATGGGTCCAGTCTTAGGCTGGGACAATTTATCGATATATCGATAATTATCGATAATATCGATATTACCTACCGGCCAATTTTTATCGATATATCGATAATATAGATAATACAGATAATATCGATATTCCCGATAATGTCGTTATTCACGATAATATCGATAATACCGATAATGTCGATAACATAGGTGACATCTTGGGCTGGAACAATTATCGATAATATCGATATTACCGATCTTGCAAATTTTATCGATATGCTGATAATAGCACTAATATTAATATTATCGATAAATTGTCTCATCTATTGTTTAAACGCCTCAATCTCAAATGTTTATTGAACTTTTTTTTCTTAAAATGAGGACTTCTCGGTTGTCGCAGTTTTGGTACTTTAAACTGGGACACCCTTTAAATAAACACATAGGCTGTCTACTATAAGAAGGCAACTTCAGTATATCTCGCTTAATATGTGCCGTCGACCAATTGTGCTTAAATGTCATATGTTCGATTTTTTGGGGTTACATATCTGCAAAATCAAATTTAAGATTCATGGCTAACTTCTGAGTTGTAGCAACTTTCTAAAGTTTAAGAAGGCTTTAATTTATTAAAGATTCTAAGAACAGAATAACAAAATTTCGACTAATTCTTTACTGTTATCGATATTATTGATAAATCGAAGTTATCGCTATAACGATATTACTGAAAATGTCGATTATACCAATATCATCGACAATAATCATAGATGTTATCGATATTATCGACAATACTGATATTGTTGATATTGATTTTATCGATATCGATAATAATCGATATTATCGATAATATCGATTTTCATCGATAATATAGATTATTATCGATAATATTTATTATTTTCGATAATATCGATATTATCAATATATGGATTATTATCGCCCACCCCCGTCCAGCCTGAAAAACATTACGTAATACATATTATTGTAACGCACCCTTTGTCGTTGGCATACTTTTAAGCGGACGATTTTTGGTTATGAACAATTCTCGTCTTCCACCGTTAACACTTGTGTTGTTACTGGTTGAACATTACAGTAATAGTACTACGTATGTTTCAAGAATATCTAAAATTTCCTTAGGAGCTTCTTTAAAGAGTATCCATGTTTTCAAAGTTGATTTTTTTTTGTATTTCCTGTAAAACTATAATAACTATCACAGCCTGTGAAATTATGAAATCGTTAGCTTTTTCCTCTAAAACTACTGCAGCTATAACATGAACCGAAATAAATCTGTATTGCGTCACTGTTCCAAGTGCAATACAAACTATAATCAGACCTTTTGTTGACAAGGTAAAGAAGACAATTGGAGACTTTGGACAGTAACATTTTATTTAACTTCTTCACCTGAAGTGATTACAACCTGTACATTTGTGATATTATATATAGCTAATGTTCTATGTACACTAAAGAGCTCTTATTTGTTGTTGTTGTCTTAAGACACTTTGAAAATTTTTAAGTAATATTACATATGAAAGCACTTGTCTTCAAGGTTCTGCTCTCCTCTTCTGTCTAGTTTCACCTTTAATACTTGCTGTAATGTATCTGTCCCAAATCGTTGGTAAAAAGGGCCCGTCTGTGCTCTACTTGCCAGGCTTCAGCCTCCCCCACCATTACCATTACCATTACCATCTGTCCCAAATCAAATCAATCCTTCGACAGCCAAAAACTTCAATGTCTTTATAAATGTAAGCATGAAATGTTATCAGATGATAATCATCAAATGTCATTGAGGAGTGTGGCTTTAAAATATTATTAAGAGCTACACTATTATAAACTATAGCATCACGGGTTTTTGGGAAGGCGTGGTCATTCTTATCTCTGTGGCTTCGTGGTCAAGTGGTAAAGAAATTTGCCTCTTAACCATGAGTTCCGGGTTCGGTCCCCGGTCGAGAAGCTAGAATTTTTTCTAAACCACAAATTAATCCTAGCATACTCGAATATTTGGTGTGTGTCCATTGGTTCTAAATGTGTAGCCCTCTCCCACACAAGGTACATTGAGGTACCTTCAGGGGTTCTATTATCTATTACCTATGGTGTGGTGTTTTAATCTACAATGTCCTCTAGAATGTTAAGTCGTCATGCTAGATCAGCTTTATTCCTAGGTCGAAATTCCCATGTACTGAGAAATGCGGATATGGTTGATTTTCGTGTTTGAAAAAATTTGACATGTCCCACTAACGATTCTCTGTAACTATTAAGGATTTGGAAAACAGCAAGACATTTGTTTCTAAAGTCTTCAGTGTAGAATTTTTCTTGCTAGTGTTCTTCGCAGAAGTACTGAAGAGGAGAATTTTGATCATTTTCAAACGATGAAATATTGTTGAAGAATTGTTTATTAGTCGTTTCTCAATGAAACTATGGAATAGTCGACTTTGCTGAATAAATTGTTGCATTAACTTGTTTGTCTACAATAATCCTGCTGTCGATGACAACAAGGTTTTCTCGATTCGCTAAAAATGGGTTTCCAAAACATCGGTCTTGAAGATGCTCAAGTACATCCCGATATTACCCAAACTACTGTTTTTGTATCTGTATTAAATCTTTCTGACAATTCTTATATGATATCAGGCATTGTGTTGGCCAGTGTTTACAACATTTTAAAAGAACAAAATAAGTAACTTAATTTTAGTCCCAACAAGATGCACCACAGGCGTCGAACTTCGTTAGACGCCATTACAAATAACGATAAAAAGCAGATAAAGTATTATTTACAAAAAACTAGCTGCCCACCGTGGAAAAAGTTCTGGCCGATCATTGATCAATGAAGATGAGGGTTTTCAGCATTTCTCCAACGAGCCTACAACGTTTACTGAAGATCAAATATCGATAAGCTATGCCTACTTAAGTGTTGAAATGTGAGGTGAAGTAGCATGCGAAACACGGTCCTTAAAGAAATGGTTAAAATAATATCCTAGCAACGTCGCTATTTGCACCAAATCAAAGCATGCCGCGAGGAACAAAGGACAATCTACTATTTGGATGAAACTTGGGTGAATGCTGTACAAACTGTTGGCAAAGTTTGGACAAACATTGATGTAAAATCTAAGGGATGCGTTTGTGGGGAGCTTTTCAACAGGGCTAAAAAAACCGTCGGGACAGGGCAAACAGGAAGGTGGACAATTACCATAAAGAAATAAATGCGGCCGTCTTTGATGAGCGGTTTGCCAAGATACTGAGCAAATTAAAAGGAAATGCCGTCATAGTACTACGTTGTAAAACTGGCTTATGTCATAGTGTGTTATAATGTGGGTCACATACATTTCAGGCCTACCAAGCACGATACGGATAGGTGTCGCGCGCATTCCTATAAATATTGATGGTTCAGGAAAAATTGTGATTGCTTAACTGTCGACTACATTCTGGTAGAGTTTAAGTAAAATATTACAAATTTCCCTTGCGGGGTTATAGTGAATTTTACCAGAATAATTATTATTATTGCTTGTTGTACCGTATTTGGGTTTGTGGAACATTAATATATTTTCATTTTGGAAGGATTTCAATTAGTTGGGTGCGTTAGCATCTCCATGGAAAAAATGTAAGCAACTTCAAACTAGTTTTTGAAATCATGCATAGTTTCAACTTTCCATAACTTGCAGTTGCCATCAAACTAAAACACCAACTATTCTAACCACTGACCGACGACGGTGCTGTTTTCGACGAGTCATCAAAGTAGACACAGGAGCCTCTCTTGTAGGTAAATACCCTTAAATAATTAAATTGTTTCATCAGGTTAGTGACGTTTTGTGTTTTTAACGCACCTATATGTTATTTCAGGGTTCTACCGGATTCTACCCCTATCCTACCCAGATTTTACTCAGATTCTACCTGGATACAAGCTTCTTTTGGGTACTTGGATTCTTCTATAATACCTAGACTTCCTTTGGGTTAGGCTTTACCAACCAGCACTTGCAACGCTTGTACGAATATAGTGTTCTCACGTACAGAGTGTACGTCGTGGTCAAGATGGGGTGATTCCTGAAGCTCTGACAAGCCATGGATCACAGATAAGCCACCTTTTAATATACAGGGTCATTTTCTAGTTATAAATTTTATACGTTCATATACAATTTCTTGTGTAATTCTCTTAGTTGAAGCGGCTAAACGTCATTTATACTATTAATATTTTATTACCTGGTACGATTACCATACTTCCCCTTATGTGCATAAACTGTGGCCCCATTTGATCTTACGTTGCCGGGTGCTTCATACGAAGCGAAGAAGTAGGTACGCATGTTATTTTATTAGTATTTATCTTTAAATATTAAATATTGGATATCTTTTATACAAAGTTACACTGCCATTAAATACTATTGTCATTGACTTTAAACTACGAGGCTTTTTCCTCCAAAATAACCACCCGAACTCAAACCCAATTTTCCCGGCTAAAATATAGAGAGCTAGCTGTGTATGTTATTCACTATCCACTGCCTACGAGTGGCACACTATAATAAATCTCCTTTTGTTACTACGCTTTAAGAGGTGAACAGCCCTGATCCCTATATTAAACACCCCTCTTTTCCTTAGACATAAAAGACTAACGCAACAATGGTAATGGATGACGCATTGCACCATAATCAAAAGTTGGAAAAGGTTCCAACAACTGAAATCCGAAAGGTCGAAGTTCGGAGGTAGCTCCCAAATAAAAGGGTTCATTTGGAGAAAAATATGGTGAAAGAGGAATTATTAGCCTTGTCTAAAGGAGCTAAAGAACTAGTGAATAGTTGTGGGGGATGAAATGCCTAAGGCTAATAGCAAAAGCGTTGTATACCGCCACCCTATTACTGCGAACCAAACCCCCCTAGAATTTGTATGGATGCAAGGGCGAGGTCGCCTTAAAAAAATACTGCATCAAAACCAACTCGGTGTTAAATTACTTCAGTTATTATCAGTATGAATAATTATGAAGGTAAATTTATTTGTTATGTTGTATTTTTGGAAAGAGAATTTAATTTTTTTTTTCAAAAGTGTAAAAATATACATTTAAAGAAAACAACGCTGTTTTTTCCCACTTTTATTTGACTCAATTGTTTTTTGTTAAAAATTTTGAAATCCTTGGAAGAATATTATAAGTTACGTTAAACATTTTTAATTTATTTCCAAAGACAAACCAAAAAATTAGGGTGAGAACATTATAGGAATCACCCTATGCATGAAAAGTTTGGGCTACCGTCGTAACATACCCTAATTAAAAAAATGTAAGCTACTATATTTCAGGTTGAGAAAAAAATTAAAATTGAGAGAATTATGATTGTTTTATTAACAGGGAACAAACGAGGTGAGTCGCAGCAGTAGTCGAGATGAGAGCAGAGGGCGAGAACAAACTGTCAGGTGTTTATAAACGCGATTCCAGAGCAAACAAGTGACGAAAAATTAAGTGCATATAATGAACCGCTTGCAATTAAGGATGAATAAAAGGGAACCTGTATTCGAGAAGCTTTAAAAATAAAAATATTAACACAGGAAAGTGAAAGTAGTTAATTTCAATTGCACATATTTTTGGTATAGAAAATAACGACATCAGAATTTCAGTGATGAAGTCATAGAAGTTTTTTTTAAATAGAAAAATAAGTTTTCGATAAAGACTTCATTATCTATTCAACCATTAGCACATGCAATTAAAACATTAAGACAGTTATAGAGAATAAATAAAAATAGATATTGTAATCATATGTATATAAAAAAAGAACTAAAGACGGAAATTATTTTTAAGTTGAAAAAGTTTTGCTGGATAAGAGGCTTCTCTTACAAACAGATAAAATGTTGCTTGTTTTATATAATTTTTATGGTGACTAAGAAGAACCCATAATTAATTGATCTGAGGATGGTAATAAAATTTACCGAAACGTCGGCAAGTTGAGGAAGTAGTTTTTCTCAAAATAAGGACCCTTGCCCAACAAAATTTTTTCCAACTATTAATAAGCCGATCTAATGACTTTTCTATTATTTTTAAGTGTTTAATATTAAATATCAGTTTTTAGAAATTAGTTTTAGGTAAATTAATTAGAACAAAAAAATGTTTATTATTTTCAAAAAAAAAAGGAAAACTTCATATCAATAACTCGAAAAAAATGTCAACGTATTAAATGCTCGAATTGGTGTTTGCTACTTAATCAGTCAATGCAATCTCGTTTTACAATCGAATTATATCTGGCATAACATAACATATCTTCTGTCGAATCCTTTGCTTTAGTTCGTCTAACTTACCAGAATGAACGTAAATGCGATTTTTGAATATAAAAAAAATCTAATGGCGTAAGGTCTGGGGATGTTGCTGGTCATTCAATAAGTCGTCTGCCAGTACAGCGAACTGGAAATGTATCGTTTAAGTGTAAACGTACAGGAAAGGCATAATGTAATATTGCATCATATGCTGCTATAAATAAAGGTCTTCCCTAAAAGCATCCAGTAATTCGTTATGGGGTTACAGTTCTATTCAAACAGGAACCAAAAACTCCTGTAGAAACCATAGATAATGTTCACCAGTTACATTTTCTTCGAAAAACAAAGGAGCTATAACTATTCTCATCTAAGCGAGTATATAAGTTTACTTTTTGTGGTCACTGAGTGTATTTTGTTTGACCCCAGTGTAGATTTTCTGTTGTCCAATATCTGTAATTCTATATGTTGATATTTTATAGGAACTGAATTGGATAAAAATGTAAAAAATCCTCAATTTTTCATTAAGTCAACGCACAATAGACAACTTTTTAGACCTAGCTTACCATAAGTCAGGAAGATGAAGTATAATAGAGCGATCTCTATTATGGAGCCTCCAAAAACAGTTCAGTTAAGATCGATTGTTTGAACGAGCTTGGTGCAATTACGCATTGAAGTAATCTCATCTTTGTGAGTTAGTACTCTGCTATAAGTTATGTGTTCTTTTGTTTAGTAAAGTTA